TCGGTCTTGGGCCGTCTCGGCTGGGAGGCGCATTTATATATATAATATATATATATATATATATATATATATATATATATATATATTATACACATAAGTGTGTGTGTGTGTGTGTGTGTGTGTGTGTGTGTGTGTGTGTGTGTGTGTGTGTGTGTGTGGGTGGGTGGGTGCGTATGCGTGTGCGTGCGTGCGTGCGTGTGCGTGCGTGTGCGTGCGTACGTGTGACTGCGTGCGTGCGTGCGTGCGTGTGCCTGCGTGCGTGCGTACGTGAGCCTGCGTGCGTGTGCCTGCGTGCGTGCGTACGTGTGCCTGCGTGTGTGTGCGTGCCTCTGTGCACGATGTGTTTATGTATGTATGTGTGTATATAATTCTGTGTATGTCATTTTGCTTGTATGTATGTACATATTTTTTTATGGAAGCATGCATATAGTTTTTATGTATGTGTTTTATAGTTTTCGTATATGTACGTATATAATTTACATGCATGTCCGTATATAATTTATATGTATGTATACTTACGATTTTGTATATATGTATGTGTATAATTCTGATTGTGTGTGTGTGTGTGTTGTGTGTGTGTGTGTGTGTGTGTGTGTGTGAGAGAGAGAGAGAGAGAGAGAGAGAGAGAAGAGAGAGAGAGAGAGAGAGGAGAGAAGAGAGAGAAGAGGAAGGTCTCCTTGGCACACAGGTAAAGCGCGGCCCTACAGATGCTCCCAAATAATAACTGCAATGCCTCTCTCCGAAGGGCAGTCGCCAGAATCCCCAGCGGGTACACAACCCCCCCCGCCCCCCCGAGTCCGCGGCGCCCTCTCCTGCCCCTCCTGCCCCTCCTACCCCTCAGCACACCTAGAAATGCACCAGCCCTATCTTCTATAGTGCTGAGTCGGTGCGGCGGGACTCTCACTAATTCCATTGCCTTGGCACAAAAAATATGGGGAAATATTTGTTGTATTACATGCTGCAGGTAGAGGTTTCTCTTATATAATGATATCGGTGGACGAAGCTACAACTTTGGCGGTTTATGGTGTGGGTGAAATCTCATTTGCCGGTGGCCGAGTGTCCGAGCTTACACTTATTGGGAAGGGAGTGTGTACTCGGGCTTAGCATTCTAACATTAGGGCAACCGAGAATGTTCCCAACTTTGGCGAGGCGGAAAAAAAGTAAAAAAGTATGGTGCCAAGCGTCGGAGAAGGTGCTGGCGGGTGCCATTGTGCGCCTGGGGGTGTAAAAAGGGCCAGCGCCGGGTGTGCGGGGGTGTGTGGCATGTTCTTAGCGAGTGTATGGTATGTGTATGCGAGAGCGAGTGCGCCAGGCCAGCTGTGGGGATCGATGGCGGGAAATTCGGACACAAAACGGAAGAGGAATCGGTTTTTAATGCACTTCAGCATCCCACACACACACTCATTCACTCTGAGTATAAATTTTATCTATGCCTCCCCCCCCCTATCTCTCTCTCTTATTTTCTCTCTCATTCTCTCTCTTTTCTCTCATTCTCTCTCTCTCTCTTATTTTCTCTCTCTCTCTCTTTACTCTTTACTCTCTCTCTCTCTCATATATATATATAAAACCAGTTCCCTCTCTCCTCTTCCCTCCCTCCCCGTCTCCGTCTCTATCTCTGCACCGCACACCATCAGAGTCCAAAGAGCTGGCGAAGTTGCACGACACATCACTCCGCCAGTCAGATCTTGGCATAAAGATCAAGGGAGCCAAAGATACGTGCATGAAATCGATATGAACATTTTATTTGCTCTCTGATTGTTCCCATAAGATCACAGGCATACAGACATACACCCACACCCACGCATACTGATCTACATACACACAGAACCAGAAATATTCACCTACACATGCACATGTACACACAGGGTATATGTGTATCATATGAGTAAAATGTGTGTACGCCTCAGACGTTCGACAAGATGGACGAGGAGCGGCCGAGCCCGAGCGAGCACTCAGCGCAGGAACAGGTGCCCCTTATCAGCTGCTGAACACTTGCGTTCTCTGACTATTTTTTTGGATCCGTTTGTTTGGAGGAGCCGTAAACACGGTGTCAAAATAACCCGCGAAAACAATCTGCGTGATCGCCGCGGCCGCATCTCTGCTGCAATTGCTCCTGTTGAAGAGTCTGAGCGCTGCATTCCGCGAACGGCAATTGCAGCAATGTTAATTTCATTGCGAGCCTTTTCAGTGCCAGCCTTTTGCCGAGCAGCTTGGATCGCGCGTGAGACCTCGGCCAAACGTCACCGCGAATGATCTTATGTCATTTGATTTAAATATCTGATTCTACTGTTTATTCCGCGCGTTGAGTCATCACGAGGAACTGGGCAGGTCGTGGCGCCCGCGCCGCGTCAGAGTCACGTTCTGGCCGCGGGCGGGCGGATGAGTTCATCGCGGGCGTCGAGAGAGAAGGCTAACGAGTATAAACCGACGTCGTCTTTTAGGCCCGGGGGAAGCGCCCCTTCGGAGAGATGGCTAAAATAACGACGAGCCTCAGGCCACGTGTTCGAACGAGCCTCGGGTCGGCAGGGCATGTGACTTAGGGCGTCGGGAATCGCGATGTCTGAGGATCACTGATCGCATTCGCACGAAACGACGCGATATTGACGGGCGGCGCTTCTGCCGGGGCCAACAGTCGCCGGTTGTTTCGGGCTACAGCGCCCTTCCTGCCGTCGGCGGGTCGGTGTCCAAGGCCGTGAGTCATCGGCGCCCATCGGCTGCCAAGCACTGCCTTCCGCTTCCTTGTTTGGGACGCGACGGCGGCCATAAGGAAAACAATAACAGAATGATCTCTTTCAGAAGAATTGCGAGGCGACGGCGAGAGACCTGTTGTGACGTATCCTGACCTCTCCCCTTCCTCTCGTCGTGACCTTTGACCTCTTGGCCATGGAGGATTGTAATGGGGATGTGCAAGGTATCTGGGATTCTCATTTCCACGCTTCTCTCTCTCTATCTCTCTCCGCGCTTCCGTTGGGCAGCCGGTGCTTCTCTCCGCCTCTGCCAGGGCTCTCGGCCTCCCTCGGCCTCCGCTGGCCTCTCATGGCGCTTCTTTTCCTCGTCCCTTCCTCCCGGAGACGGCCCGGCGCTGTGGCCTCGAGCCGCGGAGCCTGCCTTGGCTCTTTTACTGTTTATTCGTGTCTCCAGCTGTTCTTCGCTATTTTCTTCTAGGCCTTGGTACCTTTATGAGCACAGGGAGCTCAGAACTCAGTTGGTAAGCTGTAGTAATGCCCCAGGACATGGGATTAGCCAAGAAAGGCACGCACGGTTAAAAATGAGTGTAAAGAAATATCTAAATTGTCTATAAAGGCGTCTCGTTCTAACAAAATTGATTGTTAGAGTTTACGTCAGTTCGGGCAGAAGAGGAACTGTCCCTTTAACTTCAGTCGACGCCTTTAGACACTTTAAGCACTCTATTTTTAATGCATGCCTTTCCTCTTTCTCGCGCACAGCTGTACATCCTTCCCATTTCTGGATAGTGATGTCTGGACACGGGATAGGGATAGGCCTGTAATATAATTTGTGTTCTGGGGGAATACTTTAACACCGTGCTTCTGTTTTGCTTTTTCTGAGCTTCGCATTGAAGGAGTAAGTCTTATTTCTGCCTCTGTCTGCATTGCCTCTTTGTCTGTGTCCATTTCACTCTTTGTCCCTTTTCTCTCGTTCTCCTTACCCCCTCATCCATCTGTCTGTCTGTCTGTCTCTCACGCACTCACTCACCGTCACTCTCTTCGTCTCTCCTCTACTCCCTCTCCAACTATCTCCCTAGCTCCCTCTCTTCCCGCTCGTTCTATCCCTCCTTCTGCCTCTCTTCATCTCTCTCTTTCCTCTCCATTTTTCTCTTCTAATTCTTCGCTTTTCTTCCGTATCTCTTCTTTCCCCTCCATTCTCCCGGTCTCTCCCCCTCTCTTTTTCCCTCTTTCCTTTACCTCCCTTCCCCTCCTTCCTTCTATCTCTCCTTCCTTCCCTTTTTCTCTCTCTCTCACTCCCTTCCCCCTTTCCTTCTCCCTCTCCCTTCCCAACCCTCTCTCTCTCCCTACCTGCACCCCCATCTCTCTCTCTCTCTCTCCTTTCCCTGACCCCCCCTCATCTCTCTCTCTCTCTCTCTCTCTCTCTCTCTCTCTCTCTCTCTCTCTTCTCTCTCTCTCTCTCTCTCTCTCCTCTCTCTCTCTCTTCTCTCTCTCTCTCTCTCTCCCTCCCTCCCTCCCTCCCTCCCTCCTCCCTCTCTTTCTGCCTGTCCCTAGCCCACTCTTTCCCTTCTCTCCCTCTCCGCCTGTCCCTAGCCCACTCTTTCCCTTATCTCCCTCTCTCTCCCTGTCTTCTCTCTCTCCATCACCGTATCTTCCCTTCTCCGTTGCGCTGCTTTGGGCGAAAGGACCGACAGACGAGCTTCCACTGGACACCTTAGGAAACTTTTAAGAATCTAACTCCCATATATTCAGACCTTACAGATAAACCCCTTTTTTTCCCCTATTATGAATTAAGAAGCTAACTCCCATATATTCAGACCTTACAGATAAACCCTTTTCCCTCCCAATATTATGATTTAAGCAAACGGCAGCTACTAACTTGTAAGTATTTTTGAGCTTGGGCAGCGTCCTGGGGTGTTATACAACAGGTGTGCTAGGAACAGCTCAGGTGTCACACACGAACTATGAACCAGTTTTGTGGACAAGCTTCGCTCTTGCTATGCTGTGCTATGTGGCATTTCCCTCTCCAGTGGGTTATGCCTGGGTAGTGTTGGTATGGCATTCAGGGCATTGGGGTGAAATAGACCTGGGGGTATAACGCTTTGTGCGATCTGTAGATTCATGGAATCCGAGGTACGGGTTCCTTGCAGTGGTGTACTGTCATGTCCTATGTGCGTTGTGTGTCAGTATTATTTTGTGTGAATGGTCACTATTTACAGTGTTTATAATTATGCTAGTAAGTAATGATAACGTTATTAGTGATAATAATAATAGTATTAATTGGAAAGGTAATAAGGATGATGATCATGTTGACAG